TAGTTCTGTCTTATTTAGACAAAAGGAGGGAGATGTAGGGATAAGCCCTCCCCTTGGGGGCGGGCTGCCCTCGGGCGTATGTTTACTGATATATTGGGCGGGCAGAGGCTGCGCGCCCCTTCCCTTCCTCTCCTGTCTCCGCTGGCTACTCCGCTGGAACCTTGGTTTCGTGAGTCTGGTTTTGTTATTAAACTTGTTCAAATATCTATTATCTTTGGTGATTATTAATCCGACCGCTGCACCTTTCAGATCTCCTGAACTCCAGTAAAGCTCCAACACCACCTCTGATTCTCCCCCCCACCCATTTGGCATCAGGCCATACACAGAGCCCCAAGCATTCTGCATGGGCCCAGTCCAGTCTAATCCAGTCCAGCTTGGCCTGGAGAGGAGGTGTCAATGCTAATCAGCAGCAGAGCATATCACTCTATCCAACATCCCTTAATGACATCAATACTCCAGTTTCTTGCCTGTCCCTCCAGGAAAAGCAGCTTCCATAGGCCTATGCATGGCTTTCATGAGCATTTCCTCCTCTGTCCTTCTAGGACTCCGTGGCCACATGCCCATCTTTCTACTTCCTCCTTAGTTCTGTAGCTTCCTTAGGCTTGTGCAGAGCTACTGAGATGTTTTGCCACCTCTGCCTCTGGTGTAGGAGGTCCTTCTGTCAATGTGTTGGTTAATGAATAAAGAAACTGCATTGGGCCTGATGATAGGGCAGGACTTAGGCAGGCAGAGAGGACAGAACTGAATTCTGGGAGGAAGAAAGCAGAGTCAGAAGAGAAGCCATGGATCCTCTGCCTGAGACAGACACCGGTTAGAATGTCTGGTAAGCCACTGCCACGTGGCAATACACAGATTAACAGAAATGGGTTAAACTAATATGTAAGAATTAACCAATAAGAAATTAGACCTAATGGCCAAGCAGTGATTTAATTAATACAGCTTCTGTGTGGTAATTTCAGGTATAAGCTAGTTGGGTGGCTGGGACAAACAAACAGCCCTCTCCTTACAACATGCCTCCATGGCTTTCAGAGTTTGTTCCAACTGTATCACATCAGTACTCCAAGCAATTTCTTGCCTGTCCCTCCAGGAAAAGCAGCTTCCATAGGCCTATGCATGGCTTTTGTGAGCATTTCCTCCTCTGTCCTTCTAGGACTCCGTGGCCACATGCCCATGCCTCCATTTCCTCCTTAGTTCTGTAGCTTCCTTAGGCTTGTGTAGGGCTACTGAGATGTTTTGCCCCCTCTGGTTTTCAGAGATTGTTTCAACTGTATCACTCCTCAGTGCTTTCAACTACTCCTTCCTGTTGCCATTACTCAAGTAAGCTCCATCTGGTTGAATTAAATATCCCCATCCTCATCCTGAAACTAAACTTTCCAGCCACCCACCAACCTGTACCCAGGGTATGCTTAACGCCCATGTCAGCTCTGCCTCTGCTGTTTCACTGTTACAGATGCCTTGCCCTCCCCCACTCCCTTCCAGAAGTGAAATTCTCCACTTTTAATTATGTTATGGCTCTTCTTAACTCAAACCTCACTCTGTCAGAGCCCTTGCCATTTTCCCAAATTATTAACCAATTCCTGCCCTGACACTGCCTACAGGTTAAACTGAGTCATACAAAGATAAATGATTTACCTGAGATTGGCAAGATGTTCATTATAATTACTAGCAGAATGGTAATTCATATTTTACCCTTAATAGGCATACTGTGACAAATATGAAAAGTAGATTGATGAGATACAAACCTTAGAAAGACAAATAAATAAAAATAATAGAAATAATCAGACACAAACAGAGGAATTTAGACAAGAACCTACTGAGTCACCAAATGATCAGACTGGTGAGGGGTGGCCTAACATGGTTAGAAAATCAACTTTAGGCGACCCAGTTACTATACAAGAACTACCAGCAAACAATGATCACCATCAATGGTATCAAGAAGTAAAATGGAATCCTATGAAATATAAGATTTGAAGAGATTTATGAAAGTGGTCATTTCATATGGTATGCAGTCACCCTATGTGAAGCGGGTGTTAAATTCACGGGGAAATCAGAACAGAATTTTCCCCAAAGACTGGAAAGATTTGGCTACAGTGATATTGGAAGCTGATCTTCAGTTACAAAGGCAAACATGGTGGAAAGGGGAAGTCGGGTCATAGAACAATGAAATAGGGCTTGAGGTATTAATATTTCCCAAGATTAGTTTCTAGGTAAAAGTCAATGGGCTGAGTTACAAAGTCAGCTTGAATCTGTTAGTTTCACCTTGGTGCTATGTTTTCTAGAAGTTTTAAATGCTTGGGATTGGGTTGAAGACTCAGGAAAGTGGGTTGAGTCATTTACTAAAATTATACAAGGCACAAAAGAAGTCTTGACTGATTTCTTGAAAGATTGACGTCAGCTATAAACAGAAAAGTATCTGATCCAGAACTCAGACAAATATTAATAGAATTTTTGGCTTTTGAAAATGTTAATTCAGAATGCAAAGCTATTATTAGGCCTTTAAAGGGAAGATTGGAACCAATAAACGAATGGATTAGAAATACGGATGATAGTGGCTTTTACATTCATGACGCTATTCTGATTGGAGAAGTAATTTCTAAAAGTTTGAAGAAAAAGCAAAAGCAAAATGTCGTATGTTTCAGTTGTGGTAAACAGGGTCACATGAAAAGGAATTGTAGGCCAGGTATTCCTAGAAACAATTTTTTTCAGGAATAATTTAAAAAGAAGCCCCCAGGATTCTAGAGTATGCAGATGGTGTGGCATATACTTTAATTAAACTAATTAATGCAGATCAGTAAGCAACAGGCAAGGTAACCCGAAGGATGGGAAAGGTTGAAATTCCCCTTTGAGTGAGAGAACACAGGGTGACTGAGGAAGAAGATGCTGCCCTGCACGTAAATGACCTAACCCTTCCCTCAAGCAAGATGAGAAAGAAATCCTCAAGCTGACATCCCTTCAGCTGCTGTCACTTCCTGCTGGGTCAGGGGTTAGAAGACAAGAGGTGCGAGCAGCCTCTGTGGACACATGGAGCCAAGCAACAGAAAATGAGCACCCTGGAGAAGCCAATGGCACCAGGAACCTTCTGAGAAGAAGAGATTGGTGAGAAGCTGAGCATCCATAAGCCAGGAAGGAGAGCACGTGGAGAGGAAGGCTTTCTAGCCTGAGTTTGACACAGGGAATGGGGAATTGAGTGAGCTCTCAATCTCGGCAGAATAAAACCTTGGGGAGAACGAGATGTGTGATCCTGTAGATGATGTTAGCAGATCGTGTGTGTGTGTGTGTGTGTGTGTGTGTGTGTGTGTAAAGTGTCTAATGATCCTATTTCCCAACAACTCATCTTGAAGTTCTGTTTATGTGTCTTGGTCTCACGTGGGTTAAATTATTATAGTTTTACAATTTGTTCTTAAATAACTGAACAAATAGAAATTGGACCTCAAGTAAATAAAATGGGGGAAAGGTAGGGTTCTTTAGCATCATTTTAGGATGTAACTTTTGAGAGTCACTAGAGCCACATGTGTAGCTACTGCTAAGACACTGAAGCCAAGCTCTCCTTGAGACACATGAATGTTCATATGTGTTCCATCCTCTCTTTTCCTACGGGGTCTTTCTTTGTATATTACGTGTGTGTTTGTGTGTGTGTGTGTGTGTGTTTCTTAATAAATCCAACTCTGAGTATACTGGCTCATCCTGAAATTCCTTTCTGGGGGGAAGCCAAGAACTATGACTTGACCTGAGTTTAGGTCTTTGAAAACAACTCAGCCTGTTGAAGGTGGCAGGGTGCAGCATGTCCGTGGCCCTCACCCCAATCATGGGCACATGAAACAGTAAGAATGAACCTAGGAAACATCAAGGTACTTAAAAAAGACCACACACAGGACCACATATTTCATTCACAAGAAATGGTCATTACTGGCAAACACCGGCAGAAAGCAGATTACTCGTTGATAGGCAGAAGGGTGGATGTGGGAAATGGATATTGATAATCAGAGGAAAACATAAAAATCAGGGATAGGATGGTGATGACTGTCATATAGCTACACAAGTATACTCAAAGACACAGAACATATGTTTTAAACTATTAGTATCTTGAGAACAAGGGTTTCTGATATTAATACATCTGTCCTTGGTCATAGTTCCTAACCTGACATCACCATAGCCAGGTGGACAAACATCCCCAGGATCTCAGAAGCACTCCAATCCAGGGGTTCTCATGCTGTCTTCTGACCTCTGTGGGCATCAGACGTGCAATTAGGGCACAAACATACATGCAGACAAAACGTTTGCATACATAAAATACATTATTTTAATTAAAAAGTTAAAGAAGGTAAGGCACCTAAGGTGCCACATTTGAGGAGGACTCTCATTAATTGTTCAAATACACTGTGCCCTGTCCAGGGATGGAGGACACGATGTTCTGTGCAAATTTGCCTCCATGTTTGTTTCTGCCATTTGACAAAAAGAAGTCCTCCAATGGAGCAGTATATACCCCAGCAGTTGGGAAAGTCTCTTCTGGAAGTTAGCACCAGGATTCTGTGTCAGGGTTTATGCTAGGACAGACCTAACAGGACACCTGGAGCCAACTTCTTCACTGCTGAACCTCTTACATGGATGGAGGTTTGTAATCAGCTACAGCTTCCAGGCTCTTTTGGCACCTGGGAGAAGCTCCTCCCTTAGTGCCCTGTCATTCAGAGACCCTAAGCTCCCACTGGTTTTTTTTTTCCCCTTTCTTCAGGGCCCAGGTGTTCCCCCAACCCCCACCCATCCCCAGCCAGCAGAGGACAGAGCTGGATGAGATCAGGTCAGGTCACTGCCTCCACTCTTGGCTTGAGGCTCTGAGATGATGTCACCACCCTGCAGTGAATAAAGAGCCTTCCTGAACAGGGTAGGCTGCTAGACTGCACTCCAGGAGCCTCAAGCCTTGAACACTGCACTTGGAGGCTGTAAAGGAGACAGGTGAGGGTGCCTGGCTCAGTCCAAGTCTATGGGACCAGCAGAGTCCATGTTTAGTAGGGCCAACCTGTACTGGGGGAAGGAACTCCAGGATCTGAGTTTTAGTAAAAGTGACAGAGGGCAAATGGTATCTGTTAGGCATTTACATAAGAAAATTCTCTAGAAACCCAGTTGGCCATTGGCAGTGAGCCTGGGCTTTGTGCTGGAGTCCTGAACTGTAGTGATCCATCTCAGTCAGGCATAGGTGCTGCAGGGTCTCAGTGGTTTTCTCCTTTGTCTATTCTCCTGCTTCCTCTCTGGTCCTATCATCTAGACCATTTTACTTCCTCAGCCCTCTCCTTGAGTATCTGTGAATTAACGTCTTTCTTCTGTGTGCTCTAAAGGTCAGCTGGCTTGCTCCGATCTGAGCTCGCCTCATTCCCTCCTTAAAATAAGTGATCCCATGTTGACTGCATGTGACCTGGATGTTCATGGCTGTTTTCTTCTTCCCTTCCTCTTTCTCTTCCTCCTCCTCTTTATCCTTGACCTCACCATCTTCACAGAGAGAAGCTAGTCCCCCTCTCTCAGCTGTGTCCTGTGTGTGCAGTCCTGAAGCTCTGATCTTCTACCTACACATATGGGACAGATACTAGTTTGGTCTACTGCCGTGACCACACCTAGATAATAACCTTAAAATTGGAAGGACTGTGACTGAGAAAGAATTTGTAAAATCCAGTTTTATGTTCTTATAACTTTGAAATGAGAACCAAGAGTAGAGTCCCAGATTTCCCTGAGTCAGATCAGGGAACCTCCAGCGCTGTACTGAGTACCATTTCTCCTTTGCCTCCAGACTCTGCATCATGAACACTCTGTCTGAAGAAAACGGCACCTTTGCCATCCACGTTTTAAAGATCCTTTGTCAGAACAACCCTTCAAAAAATGTATGTTTCTCTCCTGTGAGCATCTCCTCTGCTCTAGCTATGGTCCTCTTGGGGGCGAAGGGAGACACTGCAGTCCAGATATCTCAGGTAAGCTCCCTGTACTTGACACCCATTTCACATACCTAAGGGCTGCAGAGAAGCAGGGATAGGAATATGCATAACCAGTTTCATAGGACAGGGGCTAAAATGAAGCAAGAGAATCTTCTCCAGTAAGACTTCTTTAAAGCAATGATTTTTTTCATGAGTAATGACTTGGTAAGGTCTCAATATTGTCTCCAGACTTCACTTAGAAAATGGTGCATAAAGAGATTCATGCTAGGTATTGTGACAAGGCTTTAAATTCCAGCTTCTAAGGAGATGTAGACAGGATGATCACAAGTTCAAGGCTACCTGGTCAACTTAGTTCCACATGGGGTTTGTCTGTATTTTTGTGTTATGGAAGGAGGGTGTTGCAATTACAACTCAGTTGTAGGACTCCTGGAGAATGTTTAAGGCCTTTTGTTTAGTCCCAAGTACTTCATAGAAAAAAAATGACAAAAATATTTGAAACACAGATTTCTTAGATCTAGTTCATTTTTAGAGCAATAGAGTTTGTAATTATTTATTGGAAAGTGAGACTAATACCTGCTTTTAATTATTTTGATATCAATTGTCTTTACATCAGAACCTAATATCCTGCCTTAAACATCTCTTATTAGCTTGCAAATTCTGTTTACAACCAAAATTCTTCATTACTGATGTCATACTATTTCATTGTTTTCATTCACAGACACTTGGTTTAAACACAGAAGAAGACATTCATCGGGGCTTCCAGTGGCTTCTAAGAAACCTGAACAAGCCAGAAAAAAAATACTTGCTTAGAATGGCCAATAGGATCTTTGCAGACAACACTTGTGAATTACCCCCAGTAAGTTGAATCAGTAGAATGATATCAATTGCTTTGAAAATATTTGTTGCTATAGAGAAGGATCCCAGAGATCTTGAGGAAATTAAGGGTAAACTTTGAGCCAGGGCGATTGTACAAATCTAGAAGACCTACATTTAGAAGACTGAGACAAGAAAGACACGAGCTCTAGGACAGCATAGTCTCCATAGTGAGACTCGACTCCCTAAGCTTGGACCAAGACCAAAATTCTATAACGATACTTTGAAATATTTTAAATCTAATTTTGTGTAATGTTTATTTATTCAGGCCTGGCTATTCTCACTTACAAAGGCCTAGTACAAAAAGATGCTTGTTCTTTAAAGTGATATCTGCACTCATTTTAGTTTTGTTCTTTGATGTCTTTGTATTCAGAAGGTCAGGATCCCTGCAGACACTTTATTTGCCCATGTTACCTTTCTGAACGTTTTTCTCTCCAAAGACCTACAAGGAGTCCTGTCTTCAGTTCTACCACTCGGAGCTGGAGCAGCTGTCCTTTGCCAAAGATCCAGAGGAGTCCAGGAAGCACATAAACACGTGGGTCTCCAAACAGACTGAAGGTCAGAATTTCAAGTTATTTCACACCCCACAATTTTCTCCTTTCCATCCACCCCTCCCTCTTCTTCCTTCCCTCCTCTTTCTCTTAACTTCCCTTCTCCCTCATGGACTAATCTCATGTTATTTCAGGGAGTCAAAGAGATGCAGACTCACATCATGATATGTGGTATAATTTGGACCTTAGTGAATTCATGGAGGTTTTATTCGGAAACTTAGATTTGAAAAATAGAGTTATTTGTATATTTCTTCAAGACAGGGGAATGATACAAATGTCACGAGAACTCATGGGCCTGATTTCCAGTCTAACAGCTTAGATTAGAAGACAGGGGTGGTCTGCAGGCAGGCAAAAGCAGTGCTGCTTCTCCCTGAGTTCTTTAGTCGGGGCAGCACAGGAAGGCAATGTCCACTCTGGGGAGCGTCTTCCCCCTTAGTCACTTTCCTGGGAAATGTCTCCACAGGACTGCCCAGAGACATGTCTCTTAGTTGATTCAGACTGTCAAGATAGTAACCTCCAGAGCATCCATGGTTAAACATTAGTCCCCTGTGACCCCTTCCACATTTCCTGCTTCTTTATTCACCATCCTGGAGTCACTTTTTCTGCTTTTTCCAAACCTGCTTTCTGTGAGAGGCTTGGAAATCGTTCAGCATCCTCATCTTGAGGATGGTCATTCGGTGCACATGATCTCCAGTCATACATGGATGCTGGCATCCTGTTTTCGCTTCTTTTCTTTTTTTTTTTTAGCAAAATTTGAAACTGATTCTTGAATCTGCCCAGATGTAACATCATCTTATTTCCCACGCATGTATAAAATGAACCTGAATGAAGTCTCTGCTTTTTCAAAAGGGAAAATTCCAGAATTGTTGTCAGATGGTTCAGTTGATTCAGAGACCAGGCTGATTCTTGTCAACGCCTTATATTTCAAAGGAAAGTGGCATCAACAGTTTTACAAAGAAAGCACAGAGGAAATGCCCTTTAAAATAAACCAGGTAAGGAACAGTATCCAAAAGTTCATGCCAGTGTGTCAAAGAACTTGCATGGAAATGTGTAAAGGTGAGTGTGTAGCTCTGGGGTTCAGTGGTAGATATCGCATGTCTTGTGGGGTGCAGAGCTTGATCCTCAGCCTAGAAAGATGGAGAATAGGAAGGCACATAAAACCATTAGAAACTAATATTTTTGAATGAAAGGTTAAAATATAGAAAATTGATAGAAATATAGAACATTAACGGCCTAAATTATTTTTCATCCTTTTGGGGGCAATTTCCACTTTTGACAATTTCTCATGTGACCACTACTTTTACCTCTCTCTAAACTAAATTTTCCTTATGTACAAAAATGTCAGATATGACTTCTTATATTATGTTAGTATAATATATAGATGAAGCATGATACATAGTAGAAAAGATTATACAAACGTTGATATGATAACATATTTTAATTAAAATAAACATTTTAAACTATTAGCCAATTTATCATTAATAAACAGGATTTACAATTCTCTAGCATTGAAACAGTGAGTGGTTCAGTTTCAAAGATCTCAGTTTTAATTGAAGTATATTTAAGTAGTTTGCTCAATCTCTATATAAATAAAACTTAATGAAGTTTGCAGCCTTACCTATGTTAAACTGTTCATTCCCTTCTGTATTGGAAGTACTTTAAAGTTTTTTAAAACATGACTTCTTGCCGGGCGATGGTGGCGCACGCCTTTAATCCCAGCACTCGGGAGGTAGAGGCAGGCACATCTCTGTGAGTTCGAGACTAGCCTGGTCTACAGAGCTAGTTCCAGGACAGGCTCCAAAGCCACAGAGAAACCCTGTCTTGAAAAACCAAAAAAAATAAAAATCAGGGTTCCTATCTACTACAGTTCCATATCTGCTTACAATAACTATTTTGTAATGAAAGCAGGAAGAGACTGGTAGACGTTAACTAAGTGTTCACTGGATCATGATTAGGGTTGTCATTGGGAGTAATGATAACACTGCTGGCATTAACTTCAGCTCATTTGAAAACCTTTTGACCTCTCTCAATAATGTATTTTATGTCCTGGGTTCATCTGTTCAGAGTGAGGAAAGACCAGTGCAGATGATGTTTCAGGAAGACATATTTAACCTCGCCTACGTGAATGAAGTACAGGCACAGGTGCTGGTGATGCCCTACGAGGGCCTGGAGCTGAGCTTTGTGGTCCTGCTCCCGGATGATGGTGTGGACCTCAGCCAGGTGAGGCAGGAGAGGTTGTATTATTCGACTCTCTAAATGTCTTCTAGAAGAGTCCAGTGTCTGTTCTCATTAGATGATAATTAATTCTTTTCATCTTGGCAACTTCATGGAGAGTTGAACTAACAGACTGAGCTTAGAATTGTGTCCAGGCACAAGGTTTTGGGACCAAAGTATGTTCAAGATTTCCACTGCAGGTTGTGTGACTTTGCCATATATTATAATTTCATCACAAGAATACGATGTGATGATCATTACCTGATAGAATGAAATGAGGGGAACTCAGGCAGCAAACTTAGCATAGTGCTTGGAAAATAACACCCCTCTGTAAAGAGAACTTTATCATGATCCTTGTTATTATTTTATTTTAATATACTAGAACATAAAATATACAGAAAAAATATTGCACTTTAACCCAACAAAGAGGAAGAGGAAGAGCGACATCTGCAGATAGAAGAGTCAGGCAAATCATTATGAGACTTCTTGGTCTTTCTTGCAGCTGGATGCCCCACTATATGTCAGACAGACTCTGAATGGAGGGCAGTGCAGTGTGAAAGATCTAAGGGGTCTTTGTAATCAGAACAGATTCCCTGGCTCTTCTTATCCAGCTCCCTAACAGTGGCATGGCATATGTAGTGTTAGTTTTTCATCACTGATAAAATGCCTAACAAAAATAACATAGGAGGGGAAGGATTTATCTAGACACACAGATTCAGAGAGCTCATTTCAAATTACCTGTCTGCATCTTACGGTCCCATTGAGGCAGGTGCATTTGGCAGACATTACAGGCCTTTTAGTATTCAGGAAGCAGAAAAATAAGAAGGGACAAAGAACCAAGGACATCCTTCAAAGGTAACCTCCAAGAACTGCTTCCTTCATTCTTCTTTTTTAAAATTTATTTATTAAAGATTTCTGTCTCTTCCCCACTGCTGCCTCCCATTTCCCTCCCTCTAGACCCCCCATGCCTAAAAAAAGGTACAAAGATCTGCAGAGCAAGCATTTACTATGAGAGTCTTTTGAAAAATTTCACATTTAAGTCACACAACTCACAAAACACTATCTAACCAGGAATAGACCTCCCTTCCAGTGGGTTGAGGAGAAGATGGCCAGGTCTTCCTACCTCTCAGGCTATGGCCTCCGTACCCATCAGGGAAGCCACATACTAGCAGGACAGTGGGACACTCATGCTGTCTGGCCACGTGAAGAGACAGTGCCCCATGTGGGATGATGGCACATTCTGTGAGCAGGAAGTGATTATGAAACTCTGGGTAAGACCTCAACTGTGAATCTGACAGTCTCTAAATCTGATTTTTCAGGTGGAAAGCAATCTTACCTTTGAGAAGTTAACAGCCTGGACCAAACCAGACTATATGAAGAGAATTTATATAAAGGTTTTCCTTCCAAAATTTAAATTGGAAGAGGATTATAAAATGGAGTCTGTATTTCAGCACTTGAGAATGATGGATGTCTTCCAAGGAAGCAAGGCTGATTCATCAGCAATGTCTCCAGAAAAAGACCTATGTCTGTCCAAGTTTGTTCACAAGAGTGTTGTGGAGGTCAATGAAGAAGGCACCGAGGCTGCAGCAGCCTCGGCCATCATAAGTTTTTACTGTGCTTGTATACTTGTCTTAACATTCCGTGCAGACCGCCCCTTCCTGTTCTTCATCAGGCACAATGAAACCAATAGCCTCCTGTTCTGTGGCAGGTTCTCCTCTCCATAGGCACAATTACCATGTCAGGAACAGTTCTCAATTCAGCATCTTGAGAACTCCTGTAACGCTGTGAAGACGGGCATATGGCAGAACCATGTTCCAAGGTGAGGGCACATTTCTCCTGGCACTCTGATCTTCAGATGTCCTCATTCATTTCCCCCTTTCCTGACCTTATCTATGGCATTTGCCGGGTCTCAGGGCCACAGAGTGCTTTGGTTCCCTGTTACGTATAACAACAAAAGAGGCAAACAATTCCACAAGGTAACCACAAAGTTCGCTAAGGGGACCTTAATAAGCACCCCTCACACTGCACTGACAAATCATGCCAACTATATATTCTGTGCTTTCCTGGCTCCTCAACTCTTGCCATCACTTGTCTTAATCTGTACACATGAGAATAGACACTTCTGTGGATGATGACTCCTATTGCAGTTTTCCAAGTGATTGGTCCTTAATGCACACTTTAATATTACTTTTCTTTGCTGTCCACCAGTCACCAGGTGTGTGCCCACCACTGTGCTAGTCTTGGGGGCAGATGCAGACAGTGTGGTCCTCCTCCAACAGCTGGACTTCACTACTTTTTCTCAAATTATCTCTCTGCCATGACAGCTACCTCGAACTACTATATTTCCTCTTTGCTGAAATCATGATTCTTTAAACTATTGTTTTTCTCCACAAGCAATTGTACTAGTCAAATTCTGTGACAACCTTAATGACCATTTCAAAATCAATTTTGTTTTCTCACCAAACATGTATGCTGCTGAATAAATAACAGCGTGAAGTCTGAGTCTGCATTTGCTTTCATTAAAAATATCAACCTTGGTTGAGGAGGCAGAGTCAGCAACCAGCTGATAGAATGTAATCGTAGAGAGTCAGAGGGCGTCTGGAAGACAGATGGAGAGATGCACAGGTGGTAAGGAGGGACTTTGAGCATGGCATCTTTTTGATTTGATGGAGCAGAAGAAAACACCTTTTGGAGACACCAGCAAGGAGGGATTACCAGCAAGTTGTTCTTCAATCTCTCCGCCTTAGCAAGTTCTCATCCAGCCCTCTCCTATATTGTGCTCGCTTTGGCAGCGCCGATACTAAAGTTGGAACAATACAGAGAAGATTAGCATGGCCCCTGCACAAGGAAGACACTGCAAATTCGTGAAGCGTTCCATATTTTAACCTCTGAGGGAGCCATCACCCTCTGAACATGTGATTGATATCAAGCCAGAACCAGATGATCTCACTGATGAAGACCTCAATTTTGTACAGGAGAATCCCTTATCTCAGGAAAAAAAAAAAAAAACCTACAGTGATACTTACGTATGGTTTTTCTTGCCCTTCTATTCAAATTTATCGACCACCTGCAAGTAGAAATGCAGACACTAGCACTCATATAAACAGGCTGCCAAACAGCACTCACGCTGCCAAGCAGCTGGATGTACAGAGCAGCCAGGTATACGAAGCGGGACGTTTGTGTGAACCGGAAGCACTTAGCATCATAGACGTCACTTGCAGCCCCTTCTTTCAGAAACAACTTGGATAAAATGAGTATTGAGGATGAACACTTTTGGAAGAGAAAGTTGTCTGTGGTAAGTTCAGTTGTAAGAGTAAAAAGATTCAGTCGTGATGGAGAGGAGGAGGAGGAAGATGAGGATTATGGCTCCTGGATAGGAAGTTTGTCCAGCAGTTGTGTCGGTGCCAGCAAAGCCTGAGAGGAGACCTTCTCTTCCACCTTCTAAACAAGCCAACAAGAATATCATTTTGAAGGCTATCTCCGAAGCTCAAGCCCGTAACAAATACAACTAACTCTTCTGCAGATCCACAGAAACAGACACTTTCAGTCGTTCCCAGAACTCGAACTGCTCAAGAAGAATTGCTAGCGGAAATGGTCCAGGGGCAAAGCAGGGTCCCCAGAATAAGTCCCCCTGTTAAAGAGGAGGAAGCAAAAGGAGATGGGACAGACAAAAAAATCAAGGCACTCAGCAGAGGAAGTTATTATCCCGACTGCAGATTGACCCGGTAGTGGTATAGACAATGGAGATGAGCCCAGCTGAGATGACTGACCCGAGTGTGGCACAAAAACCAGAAAAGCTTCTGGAGCGTTGCAGGGACTGGCCTGCTTGTAAAAATGGGGACGAGTGTGAATAGCATCATCCCATTTCACCTTGCAAAGCCTTTCCCACTTGTAAATATGCTGAAAGATGTTGGTTTGTGCATCCAAACTGTAAATCTGATGCAAAGTGTATAAGCCAGATTGTCCCTTCACTCACATCAGTAGAAGAATTCCAGTACTGACTTCAAAACCAGTAGTCCCTTCACCAGCACCATCTTCTAATGGTCAGCTCTGTCTGCCGTTACTTCCCAGCTTGTAAGAAAATGGAATGTCCCTTCTACCACCCAAAACACTGTAGGTTTAATACTCAGTGTACAAGACCAGACTGCACGTTTTACCATCCCAACATTATTGTACCAACAAGACATGCCTTGAAATAGATCGACCTCAAACTAGCGAACGATGCCGTAGTCCTACCTGGCAAGAAGATCACGGAGTTTGAAAGCTTGGAGTTGGACAAATAGAAAAAAGAGTTTTCTATTACATGACACCAAGCAAAAGAGATTATAAGGAGATGTCCTTCTTGTTCTTTCTATAACTAAACACCACTACCTACAGGGAGTAACCCAAAGTGTACCCAAAAAACTGAAATCTGGCAGACGGATGTGTTTCACTTTGCAGATTTTGGAAAATTACCATACGTACACCACACCATTGACGCTTTTTCAGGTTTTCATTGGGCAAATTCTTTGAGCTCAGAAAAGGTTGATTCAGTAATCACACATTTATTAGAAGTTATGGCTAGCATGGATATACCTGCACAAATATAGACAGATAATGGTCCAGCATATGTCTCTAAGAAAATTTTTGCTTATTATAATATAAAGGATATTACAAGTATACCAAACAATCCTACACATCAGGCAGTTATATAAAGATCAAATCAAATTATAAAGGATATGTTAAGCAAACAGAAAGGGATGAAAAATACTCCTAGAAATAGATTGCATAATGCTTTATTAACCTTGAATTTTCTTAATATCAATGAGAAAGGAACAGCAGAAGCAAGGAGACACTGGGTAATAGAAAAAAACTTCTGAATTAAATCAACAGGTGTGTTAAAAGGATGTGTTGATCTCACATGGAAACCAGGAGATGTGCTATGTTGGGGAAGGGGTTTTGTTCTTGTTTCCACAGAAGAAGAAAAGCTATGGATACCACCAAAATTAATAAAGATTTGATTTGAAAAAGAGAAACCTCTTGAGAAAGAGAAATGATGACTTATCCACAGAGGTGACAATCACACAGGTGGTAAGGAAACCTCATGAGGGTTGGGGCAGGGTTCTGTTCTTGTCTTTGCAGGAAAATACTCATCTTCAAAAAGTCAAAAGACCTGGACATCTAGATGTCTAAAGAGGAAAAGATAATTTTCCAGATAGGACCATCAAGCAAAGAGAATTATAACTTATAAAAACAGGTCATCTGAGGGTAAGAATCACTGAACATAAACTTGAATAATAGTCATGACTCACTTAAAAAAATCAAAGCTGGCTTTGGAGTTGGACAATGGCTCTATCCGTCTCTAAATCCAAGCACACTGTATTTCTCTGGGAAGGGGAAATGGATGAGATCTCCTGGGCAAACTGGGGGTGGGAAGATGGGGGATGCAAACATGTGGGAAACAGGTTGGAGTGATTGGGGGAGAGTGGAGGAGAGTAATTGAAGAGATATCTTGATGGGGGCCCGTTTGGGGGCTGGGGAGAAATCTGACGCCAGGGAGACTCTCGGGAATCCACAAAGATGATCCCAGTTATAACTTTCTTTTAATCATGTCATTTCCTTAACCTGAGAAGAAGGTGGGGAAGGATTATTAAGATAGGGAACAGAGTCAAGAGAGAACGAAACTGGGCTTGGTGTTTCACGCCTTAAATTCATAAGATTGAGGATACCTTGGGGCTGCAATCTATGTCAACCTGATCCACAGATTCACCCCTGAGTCAAAAGTTTCTTTTTAATTCAGTTGGGTGGCTTCAATGTGAGAGGTAGAAGTGGTGGTCACCTTGCCCAGAAGAAAGGTATTTGAAAAGCTCAGGTCTCGGTGTTTCCAATCCCAGAGAAACTTCTGGAACAATAAGTAGGAACCCATAACTGGATGCTTTTTGATTCTCACCAAACAAAAGATGAGGCCATAGATGCCTCAGCAGAGGGAACTCTAGTAACCTCTGCATTTCCTTTTGAATGACATTAGGATGGACCTGAAACCCAACCCCCGTTCTGCTAATGAGGACAAGCGAGGGGCCCCTGCTGCTCCCCACTCCATGGGTGATTTACTGAAAAGAGCTTACCTGTTTAAACAAGGTGAGCACCTTTCTCCTCCCATGTTTCTTGCTTGTCACAATTCCCTTCTAAGACTGAACAAATATCCAGCATGTTTCCTCAGCCAACTTCACCAAATAAAGGCTTAGCCTGAGTGCTCCTCTTTGCTCTGCTTTTGCATTTAACTCAGTTCTTTATTATGTCTTGTCACAAGATTTGCAAAGTTAAGCAGTGTCTGTCTGGGAAATAAAGGAAATCTTACCCCAAAGAGTTTGGATCTACGCCAGTAATATAATCAGGTCTAAAGGGCTGAGACTATAGCTCAGTGGTAAGTGTTTATCTACCATACATAAGAACCAAGGGTCATCTGCTTGCACTACACACACAGGAGAGCAAGTGGAACCAGAGAAAAACCCAGTATGTTTATTTTTTTTAAAAAATTAGGCACAACTGCAAAAGGAATCATAGGGGGATTTATAAGGAACTGTAGAGGAAATAGAACATACACTATGCTGTATCTGTGTTGTGGTTTGAATATGAAATGTCTTCACAGCAGCTCACGCTCTCCCCCTGGTGGGGGATCAGAGTGGCTTGTACAGGCTTTCACCTAATCAACAGAATCACTCTTTGATGTGTGATCTGATGGCATTTTTCGGTTGTGGAAAATACAAAGATTGGCAGATATATTGCTGTGGAGTATTCACCAGGGATGGTACCCCAGACATGGGTTTAAGCCAATAGAAAATCTTTATTGGCTGGCTAATGACTGCACCGGGTGCACCCAGTGTAGCACGGAGTCTTTTTCAGGATGAGCTTTTAAGCTCAGAAACCATATTACGGATTGACATATTTCAGTTAATAAGAATATTTAGCCAGAAGTAAACCTACGGAAACTAAAAAGCAAGATCAGTACATTTTGAGACTTTCCCAAAACTATGGACTTCGATGGATCAGGCCTTTCCTTTAGTTTTGGCAGGTGGTGCTGTCTATATGCTGAGTTTTACATCCTGAATGGCACTTCCATTATGGAGTCAGTTGTGCTAAGGTCTCAGGCCTGCTAAGTTCTAGGCCCTGTTACACATCTTCTTTTTGGCTAAGATGAGATGAATAGTCTTCCTCTGTCAGGCCCTTCTCCACAAGGTTCCTGCCTGCCATAAGCCAAAACAGTTACCTAGCACCTCTGAAACCAAGAACCAAAATAAATCTTTCTTCTTGAAACTGCTTATTTCAGGTGTTTCCCATAGAGACAAAAAGTCCCCCACAGTCAAGGTCATCTTAGAATACAAAACTGGAAATGTTAGGAATATCAAACTGAAAATGTCATCATTGCCTGAATAGTTTG